CATGAATGCCCAAGATGCTGAGAAGAGAATGGAGGAGAAGGGATTGTGGTGTGGCCATCCACCCTGGGGGGGTGATTTCTCGCTTTCTATCTCTCTGTCTCTGTCTTTCTGGTGAGCACACACGCCCTATAGCAAAAACCTCTCCAAAACAAAAAATAAATAATTAATTAAAAACAAATAAAGAGATGGACTTCCCCTTATCTCCCCTTACTTTTTCTCCAGGGGGCACATGTGTGCTTGCCGCACATAGAGATACAGACAGAAAGACCGACAGACAGAAAGAGAAAGCACCCCCCACACCGTGATCTTTTTCCGTCCACTTCTCCATCCTGTCGGGATCTGGGGCTCACAGACATTCACCTGGGCTGGGACAGCACTACGGTCAGCTGGTCAGCCGGTCAGCTGTGTGGGACTAGCCCCCAGTGCACAGCGCTTACCCACTGCGCTGTGTGCAGACCCTCGACGCTTTCTTCTCCAAAATGATGGGGTTAACCTGGTCGAAGTAATTCTTATTTTTATTTTAAAAAACTGATTTTGATTATTTCTTTTTTTAAATTTAATTTTATGTATTTATTTTAATTTGACCAGAGAGGGACAGAGCAAGAGAGAGAGGGAGAAGGAGAGGGAGGGAAAATGGGAAAGCAAGCCGCCAGGTCCGGGACTTGAACATGACTGGCTGCATGTGAGTTCAGTGCCCTTAACCACCACACCATGTGCTGGCCCCCAAGTTAGTTTTTTTATATATATTTTTGAAAAAAAAATTTTAATGTAATATAGTGCAAACAGTGTCTGGTTCATTTTTTATTATTTCTTAATTTGACCAGAGAGAGATGTGTGTGGGGGAGTAAGAAAGCAAACCTCCAGATCCAGGTCTCAAACCATAGTTGGCCATGTGGGAGTCCAGCACTTTAACCTCCATGCCACCTGTGGATCCCAGTATTTTTTAAGTTAAAAAAGAAAATATTACATTCACCCTCTCTAGGATCGAGTTATATGAGAGTTTTTTTGTTTGTTTTTTATTTTTTAAAATGATTTTCTTTATTTTATTTATGATTATTGTTATATATTTTTTAATTTGACCAGAGCAAGACACAGAGAGAAAGCAAGAAAGCAAGCCACCAGGTCCAGGACTTGAACCGTGGTCAGCCATGTGGGAGTCCAGTGCCTTGAACCACCATGCCACCTTCCAGCCCCTTGTTTGTTTATTTTTAAGAGTGATGTTTCCTATAGGAGTGTGCACTCACCAGAGAGACAGAAAGCAAAAAATTACACACACACACACACCCCCAGGGAGGATGGCCACACCACAATTGCTTTTCCTCCTTTTTCCTCTTGGGTTCTTAAGGCACACACGCA